AAAATAATGAAGTCAAATGGATAGAAAAGTTTTGTAAATAATAAAGCATTATAAAAGTGTTACTTTTCATTCACTTACCTTTCAGAATACATCAACAGTGAATAATGACAAAAACTGGCTCTTAGGCATCTTTATAATTTTACACCATTATCAAAAATTTTCTTCTTTACTACTTGTGTGCAATAAATAAGTCTAAAAACGATAGCCAATAAGGATACAAAATTCTATAAAATCTCCATCCTCTGTAGACAATTTTTGTTATGACTTATGTCTACACTTTTTAAAAGGGGGGTAGAGAGAGAACACTTTATAACATATCAAGTGGGCCAAAAATCATGCTGAAGTTAAACTTAACAAGTGACAAATCAAAAATGAAGAGCCACGGTATACAAAAGTGCAAAAATCTAAAATTAATAGCCTTCCACTGCCAAAACCAACAATGCTGAACAAGCCTGAGAATAATTTGTTAGACACATGTGAGGACTGTTTGACAATTTTATGTCATCACTTGCATTATAAAGCATTGGGATCTTGCTGCAATTATATACACTCCTCTCCATACAAAGAGAAGGTAAAAGTGAAGTAATTAATTAAAAACCAAACGTGATTAATTTAACATGACAAAGTATTTTCAGTTATAGTAAACTCCATACTAGTTAGAACTCACTGATTTAATTTGATCTTATAAAGTGAAGGCCATTTCAAAAAATTACTTGAGCATCAGGCTTTTCCTTTTTTTTTTTAAATAAATTTGAATAGGACAAAAGTAAAATGATAAAAGGAAACTAGATAAAAATTAACACTGTCATTATAGGTTTAAGAATACCAAAGGTTAGCGCCCTTACTTATCAATGTAGGACACAAAATTCTCAAAAGCCTATTTTTCCTTGAGTCTCAAATAAATTTGCTTAGAGAAATATTATAAATCTGGAAAAAACTACTAGACTTTTTAAAACAAATTAAACTTAGGGGAAAGCAGATGTGAAATTAGTCCACAATGGGTCTTAACTTTTTTCCATTATAATAGAAATGGCTGATTTACTATGTGGCTCCATTAATTATGAAAGAGTCATTTTTCATATCTTCCTCCTTCCAATTCTTTGGGATACTATTTATGAAGGTTACACAATACAGAATATTGGTGTCATTTACTTTACTTTTTAATTTGAAAACTTAAAACTTGAAAAGGTACAGGTAATATTTCTGGGTTTTTTTACATGTATTACTCAATGCCTGGCACATAAATGGTACTATTATTATTACTAATGCAAGTGATTACATTGAATGTTTGATTTCTAAGAACTGCAATATTACTATTTTAATTATTAAATGTCTCACTTTCCTCAAAATATTGGAAGACGAAAATATTCATGAGAAGTAACTGGCTAGCAGAGTAAGAAAAAAGCACAGTCTAACACATAACCAAAGCCTTTTATTCAACATGATAGACATTGGTAACGGTTACTATAATGGACTGACTTGTGTCCCCTCCTAAAATTCATATTTTTGAAACCCTAACTCTCAATGTGACTATATTTGGAGATAAGGCCTCTATGGAGGTAATTATGGTTAGATGAGGTCATAAGAGTGAGACCTTAATCCTATAGGACTGGTGTCTTTATAAAAAGAGGAAGAGACACCATGAGTGTAGATCCATAGAGGAAAGGCCATGTGAGGACACAGAGAGAAGGTGGACATCTGAAAGTCAGAATGAGAGGTCTCACCAGAAACCAACCCTGCCAACACCTTGATCATGAATATCCAGCCTCCGTAACTGTGAGAAAATAAATTTGTTATTTAAATCACCTAGTCTGTGGTATTCTGTTATAGCAGCCTGATCGGACTAATACAGTTAGTTAATTGAAAAAGTCAATAAAAATGGGAAAAAGTTAAAATGATTTGTAAACATATTTACTTCTTAGTTTAACTTCTTAAGTTACTTCTTAAATTCTTAAGTTACTTCTTAACTCGAAGATTATACATTCACTTGTCAATCTTTGCTGTAGAATCAAGATCTATAAAGATTTCCAGTTTTGGCTTCTATAAAATGATGCAATAACTTAAAGATTCTTACAAAGCAAACTGGGTGCAGAAGACATAGATTGTGATGACTTTTTTCCAACCCATTCACAATTCAAGAGTCTTTTTTAGCAACTCACTTTATCCTCTTTCTAAGGCATTCAACTTAGTTTTTATAGAACTATAACGACTTTATTCTTACAGTCATATTTCACTGGTCTCACTAATAACTAATTAGATTACATAATCACCATAACAAATATAACTGGCATAAACAGTTCCGGGAACACCACAACTGACTCTCGGTAAACAGACAATTCAGCTAGTAGGCGTAGAAGTATATAGATAGAGATTAAGGAACTCACCAGCTGGAAGTATTCAACATATTACAGGCATCAGGCAGTGTGTTTTAGAGCAGAAATGGTGAGTACTGGTTTATTAACTAAGTTAGAAATGGACATTACATTAGAGGGTTTCTACTATATATCCAAATAAACACTGGTCATTCAAAATTGTCACTTTGGGAGGTTGTCACCGTGTCAAACAATTAGGAAACCACTCTTGGGATTTCTGAATCTGCAATGTTTTAAATATTTAATGTTAAATCATCGTTTTTAGAACAGGATTTGATTTCCAAAAACAACTTTAATTAAGTTAATCTGTCTGGTATAAAACACGAGCAGCAAAGTCCACTAATATTATTTGAAGGAAAGCAAAGTGTTATCACTAAGCAAAATAACTTTAATATAAATATATTTCTTTAAAGGTAAATCTAAAAGATAAGTTTCAAGAACATACTGAATTATTATGACATAAGTGAGTACAAAGATGCCACCCCAAGAATAAATGTCATTTGAATATAAACTTCTAGCATTTTTGTTTTTAAAATGACTACCATACACTCTCATTTTAATTATATCACATCTACCCAATACAGCTATATGTGTACATATCTATACATATACATAGACACACACATACAAACATATATATAGTTGATACCAATCAACTATTTAGATACATGTTGGGCTTAGCTTTCTGAAATGCCTTGATATTGGAGCCTGAGGATAGTTTTTGTCACACTGAATATACTCAACATTATTCAGTAATTAAAATGAGTCACTACATACAAATGGCCAATAGATACATGAAAAAAAAAATGCTCAACATCACTAGTCACCAGGGAAATGTGAATTAAAACCACATTGAGATATCATCTCACCCCAGTTAGAATGGCTATAATCAAAAAGATGGTGAATAACAAATGCTGGCAAGGATGTGGAGAGAAGAGAACGCTCCTACACTGTCAGTGGGACTGTAAATTAGTACGACCACTATGGAAAACAGTATGGAGGTTTCTCAAACAACTACAGATAGATCCTCCATATGATACAGCAATCCCACTTCTGGGTATATACCCAAAGGAATGGAAATCATCATGTTGAAGGGATACCTGCACTCCATGTTCATTGCAGCTCTGTTTACAATAGCCAAGATATGAAACCAACATAAATGTCCATCGATGGACGATTGGATAAGGAAACTGTGGTATATATACACCATGGAATACTACTCTGCCATAAAAAAGAATGAAATTCTTCCATTTGCAACAACATGGATGAGCTTGGAAAAACTTATGTTGAGTGAAATAAGCAAAGCACAGAGGAATAAATACTGTACGTACTCTCTCATAAGTGGGAGCTAAGAGATAAAGAAGAAAGGAAAGAAAAGACCACAGTAGTGCATTGGACTTGCAGAAGGAGAGAACATACCTAGGGATACAAAGTGGAGTGGGGAAAGGGGGTGGGGAGGGAGGTCAGGGATAATTGGGTGGGGGACATGGGATATAATCACAATTTGTGGTAATGGACATGCTGCCAGTGTGTATCTGGCCATCACATCTTAGGCACTAGTGGTGACAAATTGCTTTGTACCCCATGAATATTCATAGCCAATAAAAACAAAACAAAAGATTTAAAAATAAATAAATAAAAATAATAAAATGAGTCACTAAAAGATTCTGCATAAGGAAGTGACATAAAGAACGCAGGGTTTTAGGAGGATTCATTTAACAGATAAGATGGAGAGGTGTGAAGGAAAGAGATCACTTAGGAGACCATCAGCATAAACAAGGAGTATGGTAATAAAGTTCTAAATTAGAGACCAATAGCAAATGGAAAGAAAAAGACAAAAACAAAAAAGATTTAACGCAAAAGACACCATACAAATATTAGTGCCCATTACTGTGAAAGAATCCGTAAGATGTGAATTAGAGGAAAACAAATCAAATGTGGAGTAGAGAAGGGTATGACAAAAATCTTCAGACACCACCACCTTGTTCTTCTGCTTGCCCTACAGATCCAAAGCAAATATGGGGCTCGGCTAGGTTTCTAGTTGAATTTGAGAGTGCTTTGGTTGTCATTTCAGAGAAGTACAGCCCAAAGAGCATGCTGTGGATTTAACAAAGCTCCATTATGAGGCATTATTCATATCAAGTCTGATTTGAACATGAAATAACAGATGTTTTGTTCTTTCTTCTCAAGTTTAAATGAATTGGGTGTGTGTATGAAAGAGAGAGAGAAAGAAAGGGCACATGTTAGGTCCTAAGAGATGAAGAAAATTTACTTTCTCTCTTATATAAAGCAACATATGCTCTTCATTAGAGTGTACAATCAAATAGGTTCTACTTCTGAAGAAAAGAGTAACTAGTAGATTGCTAGTTAGCTAATTATGATGTCAAAGCCTGAGAAGTTAAGGTCAACTTCTGTATCTATTCTTCTATTCAACTTCTACACCCTACTCCCCTCCAACCCCAACCAAAACCCACAAACCTCTTCAACTCCTGCCTCTTTCTGAATTCATCTGTAATTTTTTTGAAAATCAAGGACAAACATTTCCAAACTCCAATACAGAAAAACTATTTAGAAAAGTCTACTTTTGATTTTTCCATAATTTATCCTAAAAATATTAAGGCAATTTACCTCAAATTTCTTCACCTTTTCCATTGTGATCAAGCGCCTTGCTGTGTGACTGGAAAGCTTCTGCTCACAGTTGCTAACGAGTTGCAGGCAAGGGTGCCAGGGCACCATCTCTTCAGTGTATCTGAAGAAAGAACAGCTGACTGTTATGAACACTCATATGTGTAGTCCACACAGAACCATCATGGGGTGATCCAGTGTGGTATGGGACGTCCTCCCACTACATGCTGTACCATTTTATTTTACATATGGTAACTGTCCATATAATCTATAACAATCTACCTGTACAGTCATACATCACTTTAATGACTGGGATAAATTCTGAGAAATGTGTTGTTAGGAGATTTTCTTGTATACAAACATTGCAGAGTACACTTACACAAACTTAGATGGTACAGCCTACTACACACTCCTAGGCTATATGATATAGCCTATGACTCCTAGGCTACAAACCTATACAACACGTTACTGTACTGAATACTATAGGTAACTGTAACACAATGGTATCTGTGTATCTAAATACATCAAAGGAATTTTTCAGCTCCATTATAATCTTATGGGACCACCATCACATATGCGGTCCATTGTTCACCAAAAAGTCATTATGTGGTACATGACTGTACTTCAAAAAAAGCAAAGTATTTTAATATTACCACATCCAAATAAGACAGTTTAATTTTTTACCTACAGAATGAGAGAGAGAGAGAGAGAGAGAGAAATACAGGTATGTTTTATTAAAGAATACCAAATATTTAAACCACAAAAACACAAAGTGATTCTTCCACCCTGAGGGATCCCACAAGAGCAGATAAGACAGAAAGAAATACACTCTACAACTACCCCTTGACATTCATGAGAGACTGATTCATCTGGAGACTTTTATTAATTCCCAGAGTATAAAGTCCACTGCAGCATATACTTTCCCCTATAAAAAGAAGTGCGTCTGCAAGATTTTAAGAACATCTTGACACCTCTATTAACTTTGTAAATACAGTACTAAAGTTATTTATACAATTACTCTAATAAACTATGACTAAATGAACACTACAGATTACATCAGTCCTTTGGTCACATTAACCGGGAAATGAAACTGAAGCTATGACAATGAGTGGTGAAAACTGCTGCTGTAACAGCACATGGACTACATGGAGATGAGGACACCTAGAAAGCAAGACAGTCAGGTACAGTAGTTCAGAACCTGGCATTTCACAGGTTGCTGGCATCAGTCTTGGCAGACGAAACAGGTGGCAGCCATGGGGGAAACAGCTATGGAGCAGAACACAGAACAGCAGGAGAGGGGGCTCACTAGGTATGGGTACCTTTAAGAACACTACAATTGCCAGTTTTTGTTTTTCCTTTGCAAATCTTTATGCCTTTCTGGATAGTCTCTGCATACATTTATTATGTGGGTAATTTTAAAGCTCTGATCCAAAATGGGAAAGGTGCTGATTAGTACTTCATGTAAAGGACCACGATGTCACTAGCTGTTCTAATGTGTCAACATCATCTTCACCATCACTCTCTTACTTTTTTAGGTCTTTCTGACCTTCAATGAGCTCTCCCTCATTACTTCAGTCACATGCTCAAAACCTTCATCACCCACTTACCAAGCAACATTCATAATGCACTTCACTTTATTATCGGTGGAAGGAATTCTCTTGAAGTCACTCTACCTCTTTCCTTAGAGTTTTCTAACAAGTCATTACTTGTTAGAAATGGTCATTATCATTTCAGATTCTACCTCATCTAGTAATTCCTTAATGTTTACAAAATGGTCAGAAATGTACTTCTTGTAGTGGTAGTTGACATCAAATTAGGAATTCATGCAAAACACTTACGACATATGAAGGCATATATTCTACACCATGTTTGAGACTAAAATAAAAAGTGGTAACAGAAAGAAGATATAGCCTTGACCTTAAGCTTACAAACAGCAGGCCTGTGAATGCCTGAAACAGTGTTTGTCAATCTTAGTAACATACCCTTTTTTAGGAAAAAAAATATTTTATTTCCTGGTGGATTGACAAAGTATTTTTATCAAAATACCACTTAAATATGCACAATTATAAATTAGACATAAATTTCTTATGCTTCTATCCCTAATATAACTATAAAACTCAAAACAAATTTATAAATCAAATCCAAAATACAAATCCAATATGACATGAATGATGTTAAACTGCTGAAACTAAGTTGCTATGTTTGGCTTAACAGCAGGAAAACATTTATATGCTTTATATTATCTTTTCAACTCAGTCTTTGATTTTAAGCATGAAGGAACTTTATTTGGATCATCATTAACTTGTTTTTAGCCACTAATTAATTATATTAATGAGCCAATCAATTTAACAATATAGTCCCAAAATACCATACTAAAAAATTTAAAAATAGCAGTTAAAAAATTCTTCACTATATATTTACTAATATACGAGGGTACTTCAAAAAGTTTATGGAAAGATTCATATTACCTTTCAATTCTATTTTTCCATAAACTTTTGACATACCCTCATCTTTCATACCACTGGACTATTTGAAGTACCCTCATATTTCATACCACTGGACTATTAAGTGGAAGATATAAATCTGTTCTTTGGCCAGGAATATTATAGTAGTACAGCATCCTATCTTAATTCCCTGTTTTTATCACTATCCCCCTACAAACCAAGTCATATATTTAAAACCTAAATCAGCCAGAACAAGGCAAATCCACAAAGATAGATAAGTGGTTGCCAGAGGCAGGAGGGGTGGTGATTGCTAATGTGCATGGGGTTTTTTCAGCAGGGGATGAAAATGTTCTGGAATTAGATAGTGGTAAAGGTTACATAACTGTGTGAATATACTAAAAACCATGAAGTTGTATCCTTTAAAAAGGTGATTTTCGGGCCGGCCCAGTGGCACACTCGGTAGAGCGCAGCACTTGGGAGTGCGGCGGCGCTCCCGCCGAGGGTTCGGATCCCATATAGAGACCAGTCCGCTCACTGGTTGAGTGCAGTGCGGGCGCGACACCGAGGGTTGCGATCCCGTTACTGGTCACGAAAAAAGACAAAAAGGAAAAAAAAAAAAGGTGATTGTCATGTTATACAAATTATATCTTTTTTTTTTTTTTTTTTATTTTTTTTTTTTGTGTGTGTGTGACCGGTAAGGGGATCGCAACCCTCGGCTTGGTGTCGCCTGCACCGCGCTCAGCCAGTGAGCGCATCGGCCATCCCTCTAAAGGATCCGAACCCTTGGCGGGAGCACCACTGCACTCCCAGTGTCACACTCTCCCAAGTGAGCCACAGGGTCGGCCCTACAAATTATATCTTAATAAAAAAAAATTGTGTGTGTACACCCCTAGATTTTTCATGAATCACTTTTTACAGTCACTCATCTTGCTGTGAATCTTCATGCCTCCATCTCTTTCCAAACGTCACTAGAATTTCATCTCCCATTTGAGAAACAGATTTTGCATTAATTGGAACACTTATTGAAAATATTTTTAGGAATCACTTTTTCCTGTTTCCTAGATAAGAGATGAAAAATGTATTCTCTTCACTAATCTGAGCCAACAGAAAGTTCATTTTATAGGCCGGCCCATGGCTCACTCGGGAGAGTGCAGTGCTGATAACACCAAGGCCATGGATTCAGATCCTATATAGGGATGGCCGGTTCGCTCCCTGACTGAGTGTGGTGCTGACAACACCAAGACATGGGTTAAGATCCCCTTACCAGTCATCTTTATATAGGATTTAAAAAAAAAAAAAAGTTCATTTTACAATTAAAATTTATCACCGAATCTTACTCTGAGGCACCTCATTAGGCTTCTTTGTCATCATTTTTTAAAATACTTTTTTAGGGGGCCGGCCCAGTGGCGCACTGCTACAGTGCGCCGCTTGGGAGCGCGGTGGCACTCCCGCCAAGGGTTCGGATCCCACATACAGACCGGTTCCCGCTCACTGGCTGAGCAAGGTGCGGGCGTGACGCTGAGGGTTGCGATCCCGTTGCCGGTCCCGGTCTGGTATGGGCGCGACACTGAGGGTTGCGATCCGTTGCCGGACACGAAAAAAGACAAAAAGGAAAAAAAAAATACTTTTTTAGTTGACAAATTATAGTTGTATTAATTTATGGAATACAATGTAATGTTTTGACATATATTTTTATCACTAATACTAGCAGTTGGATTCTATTAAAGGTCATCTTTCACAAAGAAACACAGTTTCTAATCACTTTGAAAGTTATCTGTGTGTAATGAATAGATAACATAGCTATACAGATATGTGAAACCTGGGCAAACAGCTACATTCATTCGGTAGCTTAGAGACTCCTCCTATGATATCAAACACACATGAGTTGAATTTATAACCTGTCCAAATGAATATAACAGATCTTCAAGGTCATTTGCAAATAGTTGAAATTGTGAATGATAACCCACAAATACCAACAGTCCATAATAATTTTATGTGGTGAGTCTCTATGAGTGGTAAAAACAAACTACTATGAAAGCACAGAGGAAGGATTGATTAATTCTGCTGAGAAGGGTCTGAGAAAGTGTCATGGGAGTGTTGACAATTAAGCCAGGTCTTGAAAGATGCCTAGAATTTCACTGAGGATGTAAAAAATGGGTATGTCAAGCAATGGGGACAGGATAAACAAAGGTGAAGAGATATAAAATGCACAAAGTATCCTGACACTGGCAAAAAATCGGATATACTGGAACAGATATAGTATACACCAGAAGAAGAAAAATAGCAGAAGTTAGTGAGGAGTTTCTTCACTGCATTTTTAATTGTCAAACAATGAGAAAATCCTTTTTCAATTATCAGCTCTAACAATTTTTCACATATAACTAAGCTTTCAGGCAGTTCTTTGTTTTTATTGTGTCTTCTTATACTTTTCAAAATGTCCTGAGTTTAAATAATATCTAAACTTGATTATAATGTGTAATTCTTATTTTTAAACTTGAATCATATAACAGGATTTAGCTGAGTATATTAATTCAACAGTAGGTCTAAAAGCCTACTTTCACTATACCAAAAACACAAAAGTCTTAAAAGTAAGCTGTGCTAAGGTAAATTTTGAAAAAAAAAAACAAGGTAGATGAATGTAGCACATTTTCCTGATGGATTCAATTGGTAAAATTTGAATAAGGTCCATGAACTGGATGGCAATGTTGTTACCAATGCTGATTTCCATACTTGGAGGGTTGATTGTGGTTGAGAGGAATGTTCTTGTTTCTGAGAAATACAATGGAGTATTAGAGGTTATAGGGCATCACACCTGCATCTTCTCAAATGCTTTCCAAAAGGATTAATGATAATGGATATGTGTGGGAGTGGTAGAGGGGATGGGGTAGATATATATTAATATTTGGAAAACCTTAACGAAAGTAGAGATGGCAGTTTTTTGTAATGTATTAGAAACCTTACTATAAGCTTGAAATTATTTCAGAATAACTTTTAAAAAATTTTAGCTCTGAAACTTGAATTAAAACAAAAAGCAAGTAGCTTACTGCTAGAACTCAGTTTGTCTAAGGAAAAAACCAATTTTGTATAGAAATGAACAAATATGCTCTTCTCTGAAATATTAATAAATATCTCCTTACATACCAGCTATCCAAGATATGGCAGGATGTTGAACTAAGTGAACACAGCATTGGGAATAAGGAAACAAATCAGCTTTTAATTTTAGACAAGTCATTTTACTCCTTGGAATTAATTTTCCTCATTTCTAAAATGAAGAGGTTAAATGAGATTATGATTGGCAACAAAACGTAAGTCCAGTGTTAAGGGATCTGGGCATTAATGTGTACTGTCTTATCAGCTGACAAACAAATGCATGACTAAATTAAGCAGTGAAAGCTCCAATACAATGTTTGTAAAACAAACAAGAAAACACAGCAGAGCTTCCAAATGCTAAGGGACTACCCACCATTATGAAAAGACAGCTAAAATGCTTTCTGTACAATTATGTATAGTAAATATAAAAATTAAAATAATTTTATTAAAAAAAGATTTCTACGGCAGATTGAAAAATAACCAAATTTTGGGGTTGATATTATCTTTCAAATCTAAAAATCCCATCTTGTTCAAACATCTTGTTTTTCACTGTTGATGTACCTATATAGCTCTGTTGATACTTAGTAGTTACTGAATAATAAAACCCAGACCAGTAATGTTGAACATGATCAGAGCTTTAAATATATGCATACCTTTTAATTTGGTCTTAGCTTTTAAAAAATATTTACTGCATTTAAGGTAATCATAAGAACCAATATATACTAAAGCTAGCATTAGAAGGTAGTAGATACATGAATCACTCAGCTAAGTTGTTAAAAATTGTCTATGGGGGGAGGGAGGAAGGAGGTTTGGGAAGTAACAGGTCAGGCAAAGGGCATATAGAAATATCATGATTTGTAAGAATGAATATGCTAAAAATAAATAAAAATTTAAAAGAAAAACAAAATTGCCTATGATTACAGACTGGCAAAACAGCTACTGAACAGCTATTATATATATCGTGCATTGAGCTAAGTGTGCTATATGATAGGGATTGACAAACTCTGCCAGAATGTAAATATTTTAGATTTTGTGGGCAACATATGTTTCTGTCTGTATGTGTTTTTTTAACAACCTTTTAAAAATGTAAAAACCAGTCTTAACTTACGGACATTACAAAAACAGGCTAAGGACCATATTTGGCCGGTTAGCTATGTTTTGCCAGACCCAAACATAAAATAAAAAGGTCAAAATAATTCAGTCAATAAGAGAAAGGGGACTATTTTATACACACATGTAGGTAGACAAAGGCTAACAATACACATTAAATACAAAGATACCCTGAATACAATTAAAGATAATGAAAAAAGTATGCAAGACATGCAAACATCTAAGAAAAATGAAATTAAAAATAAGATTAAGATTACATACTCTGGTGTATACACTGGTAACCAATAGACTAGTCTTCCACCTAATACGAGGGTCTCGGCTGCAAAGTTTAACAGGTCAAAAAACATATCACTCAGATGATAACTCAAGGAAACTGGAACGTGGGTTTCTGGACTACAGAAACGAAAACAAAATTTCAAAATCAGTAAAAAATATTTAAGGCTGCTTAAGTTAACCAAAAAAAGCAACATGCTTCTTCTTAGTAGTAATGCATCACATTTAACTTTCACGTACCATTTTTCTATCCCCTTTGGTATTTCCTTCTGTGAACCTGTTCTTCTTGTAGACTCTCTAATTCCATACGGAGCTAGACAGAAAATACAGGTAATACAGATAGTCAAATACACCAAATTACCCATGAGGGGCAGAGAGATATCATGTACCTCCAGATGTGACACCTTGAGAAGAAAACATTACCTATGCACTATTCCAACTGAAAATATACAACATAAAAAGTTGGAGGAGGGGCGAACTCTGCTCCTCAAAAATGTATGTCATAGGGCCGGCCCGTGGCTCACTTGGGAGTGTGTGGTGCTGATAACACCGAGGCCACAGGTTCGGATCCCTATATAGGGATGGCCGGTTAGCTCACTTGGGAGAGCGTGGTGCTGACAACATCAAGTCAAGGGTTAAGATCCCCTTACCAGTCATCTTTAAAAAAAAAAAATATATATGTCATAAAAGACAGAGAAAGGCTATGAAGTGTTACAAATTAAAGGAGACTTAAAAGATATCATTACTAAATGCAATACCTGACTCTAGAATGAATCCTGTACTAGAGGGAAAAAATAGGCCACAAAGGCTATTACTGGGTCAACTGACAAAACTGAATGACAAACTACAGATTAAAGTACTTATCAATTTACCGAAAATGATAACCGTACTTTGACTCTCTAAAAGACTATCCCTATTCTTAGGAAATATACACTGAAGTAAATGGATAAAGGGCTACCTGTATGCAACTTACTCTCAAGTTGATCAAATATGAAAAAAATTTTACATACTTAATATAAATACACACATAGTGGGAGAGCAAATAATAAAACAAATTGTTAATAAAAGTCATCCAATTTTCATAAAGTATATTCACACTGACACCACAATGCCTTCATAATTTTCTTTTAAATTACCTACAAAGTAAGGTAATTCTTTTAAATCTGCCTACAAAGCCCAAGACCTCATGAGGCATGGGAAAATAAGTCCTCATGCATATTCCTGAAACTCAGTGGGTTCATAAGCCCAGTAACTCACAGAATCTAAATTTCTTGTAATTCTAGAAGGGAGATGCCAGTGAAAACAGGCACTACAAAAACACAAAAGCTTACACACAGAAATGTGTGATATCTGAAACTCTCTTCTTCAAAATTTGATACCGTAATTGCAAATGACATTTTAGCTCTAGTTGGTATACTAATAACAAATTATAGTCAATATAAAAAACTAATATATGCCTCAGAAAAATAATCTGAAGGGAAAAATGGGTGGCAATATATAAGGATATAAAAACAGATGGCAAGTCAATATATTCGCTTAAAAAAACAAAACAATAAACCCTTAACTACTCAGTTAAATTTGTAAATTTAACCTGCCCTACATTCACAATTTTCTCCTCACCATGTGAAGAAGTTGGGAGTGTGAGAAATACCACCACAAGCTGGTATTATGTGTACATGGTACTTCAAAAAGTTCATGGAAAGATTTGTATTATCTTTCAATTCAATTCTTCCACAAACTTTTTGATGTGCCTTCGTATGTGCTGATAATTTTTTGTACTTTAAACGTAAATAACTTTAGAAAACTAACCTACTCCTACTTTTGTATAAAAATAAACTTACGATCAGTGATGATTGCATCAAAATATGTGCCCTTCCTCCAGGAAGGTTTAGATGCATCTGAAACCAGGACATCAAGGTAATACTTCTCTAAACCATATTGACGAAGATTTGCCCTAATGTTTTCATCTGGTCCTCTCCATTTCTGATTTTTCCTAGTAGCTTTTCCTGAAGGGAAGAAAAAAGGAAGAGAAGAAAGTACTTCATCAAACAGAGCATTCTTATTTCCTGTTGTTTAACTAAAAGTAATGCTTTAAACTAATCTAAACCCACACTCAAATAAAATTTGCTTTCATTTAAAATCTCAGTTTTACATATACAAGTAAACAATTATTTTTATTTTGACTTATTATAAAAATTGATTTTGAACAGTAAAATATGCTGATGTCTAACTGATCTTATTCTGTCACCTTTCAAGTAAAACTGCCTTACAACGCTCATTCAATACTTTCTTAGTACGAAGCACTTACTAGCAAGATACTAGCAAGAGTTAAACAGAAAATGGTCCCCTTCCTCCAGCAACAAACAGTCCTGTGTGGAGCTCGCAATGAATCAGATAAATCAAACAGAAATAAGGAGAGCTAATTGGGAAATGCAGCAGCTGTGACCATGGAGAAGAGGGGCAAAATAGAGACATTACTGATGAAAAGTTAAAGTGGGGTTAAGAGAGGGCTGAGGAAGTTCAAAAGTTTCTAGTTTAGAAGACATGAATGGATGATAATACCAGCAATTAAGATCAGAGAAACTAGGAGGAAAAACAAACTTAGGGGAAAAAAATATACATTTATTTGAGATACGTCGATCTTGGTACACCTAGAGGTACCTACAGAACATTCAGTGGTTGAAGACCAGAATATATATACACTTGGGAGATTTTAGTATATAAATTTAAGTTGAATCCATAAGAATAATAAATGACATTTTTTGTTAACCTACGTGGTAGTTACATAAGTGATTTTCTCTATAATTATTCTTATATAGTTATACACTCTTCTGTATTATGATCTACCTCACAACAAAAAAACAAAACTTGAAAATCAAAAGAAGAAGAATGATATGACTCTGAACAACATGCAGTGTGATAGGAGAAGGGGTCAAAGATAGATGCCTGGAGAAAAGTAACATGTCTATAGAGATCAAAGAAAATTGCAAGGCGTTAAGGAGACGAGGTAGAACAAAGAAATAAAAGTATCACCCAACGAGACTGCTGTCTAGGAAACCAAGGGAGGTTTTATGAAGGTCAGCATTGCCAAATGCTGTACATTTGTGGCCTTAGTAAAACGTTTTCAGCAGAACAGTAGGCATGGAAACTGGAAAATAATGGGCAGAAAGGAGAGTGAGAGAGGAGGAGGAAGGAAACAGCAAGTGGATACTAGTTTTTTGAGAGGCAACAGGAAGAGGAAAACAAAGTGGTAGCTAGATACCCCTATAGAATTGAAAGAAAAGTTTTCATACTTTTAAAATAGAAGAAACTTGAGAAATTTTAGAATACAGTAAAAGATTAGAAGTATAGGAAACAGAGGGATAGGAAACAGCATCTTAGATACGCTCTGAGGAAGCTCTACCTCAATCAGAATTCCACGCCAGTAGACTGAAGTTTATAACATAACGTTTTAAACATAATTTTAATAAATAAAAATTTAAATAAATTAATAGGACAATTTCCTTAAAGCAAATATACTGCTTCTACTGAAAGCAAACAGGAATAATCCTTCTTAGCACTTCGTCTATTCTACCATATTGCAGATAAAGAATATCCTTTTCTGGTTAGCCCATTTATGTAAACCTGATAAAATATAATTCATTTTCCTCTCAATAATATTACTAAATTCCTTATAGTCAAGGTAAGAAAAAAGACAGGTTATCAGTACAATATATCAAATTGCTTCAGCAGAAGAAAATAAAATATAATAAATTCTCACCTATACAATAACTTGTAGTGGGTAAGGAAAAACAAGAGTGTTTTAAGGGCTAATTCAAATTACAATAATGGAATACTAACATAGATAGAATTTCAAAATCATCAATGAAATTTGACATTGTAATACCATTCAGTATAAGGAAATACTTTTCAGTTTGATTCAATTCCATCCAATCACACATCATTAGGAAAGCTTCTAGAATTTAAGATATTTTCCAAAATTGCCTCAAAAGAAAAGCCTCAAAAGCGTAAGGCACAACTGTCACCTGAAGTGTTTCAAAGATGTTTTGATTAGTTATGAGATTAAAAACATATATGGTACTTCAAAGACTAGATATTAACCCAGTATACAGTGCATGATTACTGAATAAATTAATGGTGATAATCTTTAAATACAGAAGATATGTTTTATTAATATGTACATGCCGATAAAAAAAATGGCTGATCCCTCTCTCTACTTCTCTCCCAACCTTAAAGTTCACAACCTTACAGTTTGCCTACCCTTTTTTTTTTAACCTCTCTTACTAAAATAACAAATACCTCTGAGGGGAGGGCTTTTGCTTATTCATCTTTGTGTTCCCCCAGGAGATCACTTTGCACACACTGGATCGCTTTGTAAAAAGTATATAACAATGAAGTTATGTTGTAAAATTAAAATTATATCACAATTTTGTATTTGATCATTAAAATAACGTCATATAAAACTACTTTATTATTTTAAAGGCACACTTTGTATAATAGCAAAGACTGTAACGCTGTTTTTCTAACCTCTACTCACCCAAGCCATGAACTGTGTTGTAGTCTATGTCTGTCCCATATACATATGCACCAAAATGAGCAGATGCTATCAAGAGGCCACCTGAAAAGTCACACAGTTACTATGAGTTAACCAAAAAGTCCCAGACTCTTGTTTCTTCTCCTATTTAATTTGATCCAGAGTCTTACAAACTTGCTGCAGGCAGAGTATCCTGGAATGACACCAGTCCTGGCCATATTCAGTAAGCCTCACAGATGAAAAAACAAACTCCTAAGCTTTACTCACTAAACTGGTCACAAAGCAGGGAATTAATGTATGCCCTGGCATCATTATTTTAAACAACACTACTATTGGCGGGAAAATTATCTTTTTTTGGTCAAAGTAATATATACTTAGACATTTTCATCTTATTTTGAGAGATCTAAACAAAACTCTCTTGCTCCCTTCTTAAAAATGAGCATTACACAAAGAGCTGGCAATAAATAAATTCTTACATTTGTGTTCCATTCTCACTGAAGTCACGGAATTTCAAACAACTAAAAAGGGCATGATTAAATATGTGAGACCATAATTCTTACAAAATATTAGGACATATTTTAACTTTTTTAAGAATTAACTATTTTAATATAGTTACTCTTGTAACCAATCAAGTAATTATCTCCGGTTAGAAATTGTAAGTATGCATTTCTGAATAACTATCAAACAGTAAAATAACTAATACATTTTTATTTTTAATTAGTGCTGTGCCCAAAGTAAGAAAAAATATCCCAGTACAATCTGACTAGACTAATTTGACAGATGTGAACAGCTCACACATGAGGAAAAATCTTAATGAAGACTAAAAAAATAATGAGACCTTATAAAATAAAAGCTAACATTATTTTTAAATTGTTTAAAAAAATTTCACAATGTTAAATAAATTTTTATTAATAGTACTTTTCATTAAACTTCACGTTTTTTAATCATTCAAATTAAAATGCTTTCAGTGCTTGGGCAAGTCCTAATTAACTACACTGCAGAAAGTTCTGTCAGCCAAACTGAAATCAGAAATATATTCACAGATTGCAAGATATACATAGACTTGGACGAGCAGGAAAAAAACTAGGGCTCTTTCCTTTATATCCTTTTGAAATGTAATCTCTAAAATTAAGATGGGTAGTGCCTCCAAAGGGTCAAGATCTATAAATGAATAGTTTCCTTCCACAGCCATTTAAAACATAGTCTAGTAACACGTACTTAAAAATACTTAGCTCATGAAAGTATTTTAACTGACTAGTTCTTATTGAAGCCCATGAAGAAGAGAAAAGGAAGACTAAAAGTACAGCAGAAACCAAAACCTAGGTCCTCTTAGACTACAAAAAGCATTTATGTGAGATGTAGGATAAAAAAGACCTCATTTACTCTAGAAATGGAACAGTCCACATTTAGGAAAGGTACTGTATGTGATGATGTAGAATACTCACAATGTCACTTCCCCCAAATTATGAGGAACTACTACAATTCTGCCAGTCAAGGCAGATACTCACCCAGAAGAACTAGTTGTCAAGGGAAACAGAAAAGCTTTCCTGTGCTTCCTTAAACAGAACCTTATCCATTTGGTTAGAGTGAGTTTTGAGAAGACCCAATTTACAGTACACTGCTGAAAGGAGATGAATAATCTGTTAGACTGAGTCTGTTAGTTAAATTTGTGCCCTTTAAGCTTTTTATTTTTTTAAATAAAATCATACTAAGTTAGCTTCTCTGAACTGGTCACTGGGTAGTCACTGCTAGTCATCTAGTTGTTCTTTCAATTAAATTAAAGCATCTTTTGCAATTAATTATACCTCAGATGGAGTTTCCTTGGAAGCTTTTCTATTGGAAGAAGGGTGCCAAAAAGGAGGTGAAGAGCTGAAGAAGCAGATGACGTGACTTGCCCATTTCTCTTTATGTTATCAAAATAAAACTGCCTAGACTAGCAACTCAATGTTTCAATTTCTCATTATTTAGATAACAACCACTTTAAGGTTGGGTATTCTATGATATAAAAACAATTCATGATTTTCATTTTTAGAGATTTAAGTGAGAAGTTTTGCAAATGTGTAGAAATGAGAGACGGGCTTTGGTTTTGCTGAGAGAAAAAAAAAAGAAGAAAAATGCTAATATTATTGTGTCTGTTTTATCCTTGTTAAAAAAGAACTCTACTTAAATAAATTAAACTAGCAGCCTGAGCAAAAGAAAACAGAAATCCTACTAGATGAACTATGAGACTCAGGAAAGGGGAACTACAAAGAGATGTGGAAAAATGGAAGCAGAGAATACTGCACAGATCTATAAAGATCCATCATCTCACTCTCCTAACTTGTTATTTTCTACTCCATAGTCTCCTCCCAGAACTAGTACAGTTTCCAAAAACCTAGCCCTGTGGCTATTATTTCTCAATGGAAAAATTTCAGAAGGAGCTATGCTCCCTTCCTTACACCTATGGGTCATCTGAAGATGGACGAGGCCAAGGAGTGAGCATACATTAGTCTCTAATGTATTAATGGGTTAACATTAATTAATATATTAAGCTAATGGGTGCATTCTCATTACTAGAGGGGCTGAGACTTGAGAAAAGATGAAAGGAATCAGAGCTATGGCTGTAGAGCTCTGTGCTAGGTACAGCAATTGGCATACACGTGTACAATTATGTTAATTATAAACAAAAAATTAGATGTTTACAATTTTAAGCTCTACTTCCTTGCCTGCTGCCATAATTTGCTGACTGTTGAAAATTATGAATATCTTAGAAATTAGCCAAAAAGGAGACTAGAAAATGAGTTCATGGTCAAATTCTTCATCATCACCATTTAATACTAGCTATACCTAACATCTTTCACCAAAAAGGCATCTAAGTTCTTAAAAAAATAATAATTTCAAATAATGATAACCGTTACAGTTCACTAAACATCTACCATGTATCAGGCAACTTCCAAGGAAGTTACCTTGCTGAATCCTCACAATACATTACTATTACCATTTTACAAATAATGGAACTGAGACCCAGACAAGTTAAGAATCTTGCCCAAAGTCATATAATAACTGGTAGAGTAAAGATTTAACCCTCACTCTATTTGCTCTTTTCTTTATACCATGCTACCTCCTTCGGGGTCAGTATCAATTGAAGTAAATACACATTAGCTTTCAATTAGGTAAACAAAAGCAAAATCTGTTACCAAACAAATTAAGTAAAGCTGTACACTCAGTTTTTAACAGTTGTATACCATACACAAGTCTTGTACTACATCACAGGCAGGTCTGTGCCATTATAGGTATTCAATGTATTCATGCTGATCATTCCTTTAGCCATACTCATATGAGAACAGTAGTATTTCCTAACTACTAAGAGCTGACCCAATAGTATGTATCTTCCCTCTTGGGAAAATGGAGATATATAACTTGAAAAAAAACCTTACTAAAGTTCAATGTACTTGCCAAAGTAGAAAGAAAAGTGTGTTTCTGCAGCTCATACAAGGATACTTCAAAAAGAGTTAATGGGAAGATTCATATTATCTTTCAATTCTATTTTTCCACAAACTTTTTGAAGTGCCTTGATAGTGTCATTCTAAACAACAGTAGCAAACCGTCTAAAAGAAAAAGGAAAGATATTTAGGCAGGAAAGGATTATATCTCTCCTTTCAGTTTCCCAGAAGCTTTCTACCCTACTCTATAATGTTGAGAAAATCGTAAGTCATGAGTAGTCAGTGGGTATTGCATTTGGAAAACTACATGCATTTCAATTTTGTACCTTTAAAATGGAAAAGAGATTAGATGACACTTGAATTAGGGAAAAAAAACTAAAAAAGGAAACAGAAAAAATCATCAAGTACTTTGTGAAAAACTTTGGCCATTGAGGAGGGTACAGCGCTACTTATTTCTCTAATCCTTCAGAAGGTACTACCCATCAATGAGGCAAAACGCCCAAGAAAGAGGACAAACTGCTTTAAAACTTTGTCTATTTACAGTTATTGGTCATTACCAGTTTCAAAACAAAAGTATCAAAAACTGACTAGTGTCCTAAAGCTATGCTTAAACTACAAACGCAAATTATGCAAATGTATTTTAGCAGCATCTTTGCAGAGATCCTCCTCTCATTTCCCATTAACTGTCCTATATGAATAGTCAGATGATCAAAATATGCTGTCTACTGTAAGGAGCTGCCCTAAAGGAAATAGAAGCAGATCTCCTTGCCCTTCACCATACTAAAGGTAGTTAACATCTTGACTACTGTGAAGTTAGCATTTCATAATATACCCAGGCTCATCTACATCAAGGGAAGGAAATTTTACCTATACTGGCAACTATTTTTAAACTCTATGGTCTGCTCTATGTATGTGTGCAGATTAGTCATTTTGTGCATGTATATATCTCAAAGAATTCTTCTCCATTCACAGAAAAAGTTTTTAAAGTCCAAGAACAAAATTGAGGATTGATAAAGGGTTCAGCATTTGGAAAAAGACAAATTAGATCCATTCCTCACATCATAAAGAGAATAAACTCCAAATGAACCAGAGATCTAAAAAGAAAAAAGTAAAACTACAAAAGTAGTAGAAGAAAACACATGAATTCCTCTACAATGTGGGTGAAGGAAAAACTTTTGCATGTTAAAAAGCAACTACCAGCAAAGTCAAAAGATAAATGACAAGCTGGAAGAAAATATTTGCAATCTATATCACAAAAAAAAAGAAGGGGAGAAGGGGCGGTAATGTTCCTAACTTACAAAGGACCATTTAAAAATAAAGTGGAAAAAAACCCAAAATTTTACATAAAAATAGACAAAAGGCATTGAAAGACAATTCAAAAAAACTTATAAAAAATATCCCTTAAAATATAAAAAATTGTTAACTTCATTATAATAAGAGAAATACAAATTACCTCTAGACTGAGATACCATTTTTACCCAACAGACTGGCAAAACTTCAAAAGCCTGCTTTTGTGGGAGAACAGGGACTCACCTAAATTGCTGGCAGGAATCCAAAAATGTTATAATAGAGAGGAATTTGACAATGTCTAACAAAAGTACATTTGTATACACTCTTCAACCCAGCAATCCTACTTCTAGGAATTTACTCTAGAACTATATCTCCAAAATTACAGAAGTATATATATTCATAAGGTTTCCCATTGCAAGCATTACTTGTAACTGTAAAATATTGGAAACTACCAATGTCAAAGTATGAAGACTGAATAAATTATACTACGTACACCCATGGAGTACAACTACAAAAAAAAGTGAAGACAATCTCTATGAACTGACAGGAAGTGATTTCCAGGAAATACTGTTAAGTGAAAAACGTTTAGTTAAAAACAACATATGAGGGAACTTCAAAAAGTTCACAGAAAAAAGGAAGCGAAAGATAATACAAATCTTTCCATGAACATTTCGAAGTACCCTCATATAATATGCTATCTTTTGTGTATTAAAAAAAGTAGAAATAAAAAAATGTGCAATATATCCGCTTATCATCAGAAAAAGAAACATAGGAAGAATCAACAATGAAGAAAACAATGAAGTTGGCTACCTGTAATGAATGGTGAGAGCAAAAGGGAAGGGATAGGACAGGGAGTACCACTGCTCTGAGCACACCTTTTTGTGTACCTCTGACTTATGAAAGCAAGTTAATCTTCCATATATTTAAAAATAAAAATCAATGAATAAGGAGTGGGGGATGGGGGGATAAAGGCCTAAAACTGAAGACAAACTGGAACAAATGAACCCAACTGAATTATAAATGAAGGGAAAAAGCAGCAAACACAGCGTCTGACTTTAATGCCCCTTAGACAGGGTACAGAACTGAAAACATATCCTCAACTCCTTTAACAGATTTTTTTTTTTTTTTAGTGGCATGGGCAAAGCAATTTTGAAACTATTTTAGATATATTATAGGACTGAGTGACAAAAGTAAATGTGTTGATAGGAACCAGGGTCCTCACTGTGGAAGAAGGTGTATATAAATATGGAATGGTGTAGGCAAGAATGAAATATGTGAGAATTGACTGGAATTTGAAGCATATGCACAAATTCACAATTTCTAACATATGTATTGCTCAGACATGTGCACACACAAGGTATGTAGGACTGTACACATATTTATTTGCATATGTACTTATATGCATATTGTGTATGCATACATACATATATTTCCTAGCTTGTCCACTGAAAGGGTCTAGAATCCAGATCCTGGTGTCCAATATTATCTCCCCATTAAAAGAAACAGGGTTCTTTGGAGACATGACTGATACCAGGGCTTGGGCAGGTAGAAGATAAGCCAGAAATAAGGAAGTACTCCAAAAATTAAAATAGAAATAAGTCACAAAAACAAGTTCATTGTGTAAGGGCTCTCACTGGGCAAATCTGGGACAATCTGAACAGTAAATAATTAAGAAATGCAGTGAATGAGAAACTACCTAGGGTAAAAAGGGAGTCCATGAGTTCACATTAATAATAAGTAGACAAATAAATATGTGAACGAGAAGAAAAGGCTGTTGCTTACAGTAGAATAATGAGCATCGGACAGTAACTATGGAGGGAGTGCTGGAGGTGGAGCATCATCCCTTTATAACTATCAAAGTAAAGACTGGTTCAGACAAAAATCATCAATGGATATTAAACCTGATAACCTGACAAGGTGAAGGGAGATTTGAATAAGGAACTGAATATATCCATTATCTCCATGTGTCCCCACGGATTGCTTGTTAACAGCAAGGAAAAACAACAATAATCATATAGTGATGGGGCCGGCCCGGTGGCGCACTGCTACAGTGCGCCGCTTGGGAGCGCGGTGGCGCTCCCGCCGAGGGTTCGGATCCCACGTACAGACCAGCCGCTCACTGGCTGAGCGAGGTGCGGGCACAACACCAAGGGTTGCGATGCCGTTGCCGGTCCCAGTCCGGTACGGGCGCAACACGGAAGGTTGCGATCCGTTGCCGGTCACGAAAAAAGACAAAAAGGAAAAAAAAAAAAAATCATATAGTAAGGGTGGGGTAAAAAATAAATAAATAAATAAATAAATCAACCACCTTGACCAGCTGATCAAAATTAACATTACCAATGAGGGGCAAAGAGCCATCATACACTAAGGATACAAAGTCACTAATGAAGTATTCCATCCAGGAATGTATAAGCTAAATCTAACCATGAGGAAACATCAAACAAACCAAAATGAAGAACATACTGGATAAAAAAATAAAGGGAGGAAGGATAGCCTTCTTCGAAAGTACAAATTTCATAAAAGAAAAAAAAAATGCTTTGGCTATGTTCCAAATCAAAGAGATCAAAGAAACATTGACAACAAAATACAATACTTAATCTTAGTCTGCAAAGGGAAGAAGATGTTATAAAGGACATTATTGGGTCAACTGACAAAATTGGAGTATGAATGTTGAAGTATATAACACTAAATACTGTACTTTGGCTATATAAGAGAATATATCCTTATTCTTAAGAAACATATATTGAAGTATTTGAGGAATAAAGGAATGTGATGGATATAACTTTCAAATGATGCCAGAAAAAAATATGTATATAAACATAAATAGGACAAATGATAAAGCAAATGAGCCCAAATGTTAAAAGCTTAAACTGGGTTAAGGACATGTGGGTGCTCTTTGTTCTATTTTTATTCTTGTAACTTTTCTATAAGTTTGGTATTATTTCCAATGAAAAGTTTAAAATGTGGGGGGAGTACTTATGATATTGAGGATAGAAAAGAAAAGAACAGAGAGTATGTTGGGATTGAGATATATGGAGACACTAGTAGAGTGAAGAGAGACTCACTAGTGAATTAATTCAACAACAACAAACACAGAAAATCATTCCATCAGTTAGAAATCTCATGACCTTGATTTATTTCTTCCTAATCAGGTGTGGTTATATTCCCTCTTCCTAACCATATATGGTGTAACAGCTGGCTGGTAAATCTTAATGCAGAAAGAGGCAGCTCTATGATAGTAGTTAAGAGCATGAACTTTGGGGGCCGGCCCAGTGGCACATGCTACAGTGCGCCGCTTGGGAGCGCAGTGGCACTCCCGCCGAGGGTTCGGATCCCACATACAGACCAGTTCCCGCTCACTGGCTGAGCGAGGTGTGGGCACAGCACCGAGGTTTGCAATCCCGTTGCCGGTCCCCGGTCCGGTACGGGCGCGACACTGAGGGTTGCAATCCGTTGCCGGATACAAAAAAAAGACAAAAAGGAAGAGCATGAACTTTGGAGTTAGACTACCTGGGTTTGAATCCTTGAAACTTATACACTGTATAACCTTGGCCAAGTCACTTCACCTTTCACTGTGCCACAATTTCCTCAAGAAGATTTTTAAAAGGATCTCCATGTTAGTTGTTGTAAGAATTAAATTGGACAGTAACACTAGAGTGCATAGCATACTACCTGACACATTTACTATTCAATAGCTGTTAGCTATTGCATCATCACTGCTTACTTTTGAGAGGGAAAGATAGCTACAGGGAAAGACTCCAACCATGGCATAATTTGTTCCTACAGAATCTGAACCACAATGGGTTTATCCAGACAAACCTAAATATGAGTATTCTCTGGGTATCAGCAAGATCAAGCAAAAAACAAGTTGAAGCAGAAAAGTCAGATGAAGTAAATTTGAAGTTTTATGACTTCCTTACAAAGCTAAATACGAGGACATCCCTGTCAAGTGCATGCAGAAACAAGGTCATGGACACAGTGGCCAGGTTCTAATCTATCAATACTTGGTCACTTTTCTTATTTTCACACTTATTTATAAACCTCCACAAACCAAATCAAAGATAAGATACACTAACTATTTCTCTCCATCCAAATATACAGTGATCAATTGAACACATTTTTGATCTTGTCATTCAAATCTTTCTTTCCCCCAAGAGTTTTCCTATTTAAATAAATCACATAACTTTATAACATTTCTACAATATATGGTATTGCAAGTTTTTCTGCTATAAAAAGATTAGATAGACACTCCCACCTAGTGGTTTACTTGGAATAAAACTCACAAAATCCTACCAGCATCTTCTTTCAAGTGGCAAGACTACTATACAAGTATGTGGTTGTCTCTTAGCCACTATCTAATGGTAATTGAAAGATTATTCTGTCCATTTAATCTTTTAGGAAAAATATTACTATAACCATCACTAACATCAAAAAGCAACATCTCTACACTAGCCTAACAGTTAAATAAAAATACCTGTTCCAACAAATGGATCAAAGACAATATCATTTTCTTTCACTTTTCCATGGTTGGCCATGATGAATGATAAACCAGCATCCATGCTTGTATTTCCAATAAAGTGTCTCTTTTTGACACTATATGACTCGATAAGCTCTCTCTGTCCATCTGCAATCTAGATCAGAGATATTTTTCAATTAGCATAACCATAGAAAACAGATTTAAGATAATCATTCACAATAAAACCACAGTGTCTTTTTTTTTTTTTCCTTTTTGTCTTTTTTCGTGTCCAGCAACGGATCGCAACCCTCAGTGTCGCACCCGTACCGTACCGGGACCGGCAATGGGATCGCAAACCTCGGTGCTGCCCGCACCTCGCTCAGCCAGTGAGCGGGAACCAGTCTGTATGTGGGATCCTAACCCTCGGCGGGAGCGCCGCTGCGCTCCCAAGCGGCACACTGTAGCAGTGCGCCACCGGGCCGGCCCCAAACCACAGTGTCTTGCTGAAGAGAATATCTTTCCACTTACTACTGCTCTAAATTTTCCTTTAAAATAATGTGATTGAGGTAGTCACAAACCAATACCTTTTATTTCTTAATGTCTTTCCATTTACTTTGTCTTTTCAAACGAAATATGAATTGATGTGAATGCAATTATTCTAGTTACTGGTCGTGAGTCAGCTTTGCCTATTTCTTTTTTCACCTAAGTAACAAAACCTGTAACCTAAGTCACAGCTTTCACTCACGCACTTGTAGCTTCAAGGAAGTGGGTAGAACTGCTCAACTCTAATTCCATTTCTTTTCAGAATGGAGATCTGGACTGGATATCTTCACAAATGAAATCTCTCATCTATCACAGCACTCTGCCTTTTTTCTGTTTTACTAAAAAAGCAGTCCAGATTTTTTAGTCCAGTTTTAATGTTTCCCGGTACACCACCTCTTTCCTGGGCCCTCTATCTAATAAGCCTCTTGCATTTCACAGTAATCTCTGAGAAAAAACAAAACAAAAAATCACATATTGTTTGCCAGTTTTAATCCATACAGTAGTTCTGACTCTTTGGCTGCTTTAAAGTTCTACACATGAAGAGTCAAATTTAGCTTTTAAGAAACAAATTGAGAAGTAGAAAGAATACTTGCTTACCCATCTACCAAAATAAATATTATGTGGATTCTCAGGGATGCAGTTTGGGTCCAAACCATAATCCTCCAAAACAGAGAATACATGTTGTGGTTTCTTTAAATTCACTTTTCCTTCAAATGGCAGAAATTCAAGTGCCTAAAATATAAAAGTAATTCTAATGTGCTGTAGAAATTTACAATGAAAATAGTGCTTATCTAATAATACCTACTTTGTAAGTCTGGTATCAGCATTAAATAAGATAGAACATAAACAGTACTTAGAACAAAATGTAGTACCAAATAAGCACTTAACAGACATTAGATATTCTTATATATCAACAATGGTTCAACTACACTAATCCTATGTTTTCTGCTTTTGCTAAATTCACTTACATCTATTCTTTTGACTTTTTCTTCTTGTGTCAGTGTTTTATTAAATGTGTGAATCTTTATTTTATACGTAGAGTCTGGATGTAGAAATGGAACCTAAAATAAAAGCAGATACGTTTTTTAAGCTTAGAAATTCTACAGAATCTGCACATATGCCTATATAAAACCACATTTCACTACGCACCATCTTCTCCACAGGGTAATTTTTAAGAGAACTGTACAGCTCTTCAGGAGATTTTCCATGACCCCACAGTTCAAATATAGACCTAGGAAATAAATGATTGTTACTAACCTCAGTAAAGAACCTAGTTCACACAGCAATACATTAACAATTATTTTACTAGTTCTTTATGCCCACTCCACTAAAATAATTACTGCCTATATCTTCTAAGTTATAAATGAGAAATAGATAACCTGGAAATAAATAGAACTTAAGTCCAAACCACACACAGAAGTTGAACTTCACATGGAAGAAGGGAAAAATCAATGTAAGTCAAGATTTTTCCAAGTCTTCATCATTATATTTTTATGCTAGAACAAATGATGCAGTAAAATCACTTAAATTATTTTAGTGAAATGGGTGAAAAGCTGCAGAAAGTCAAATTTTTCCCAGTGTCTTCATAAAACAAAACAAAACCACCAGGCAAAAAAGCTACTGTTAACATTTAGCTATTATTTAGTAATATTTAGTAACTAAGTTACTCAAAATGTTGAGATCTACTGAGGCATTTGTTGTATTTTTCACTTTTTGTTGTATGCTCAAAATAGTTCATGTTAAAAATAAATTAATGAAAATTAACTTTTAATCCTTATTTTACCACAGAGAATTTTGTATTTAAGTTAGCATTTAATTTATGCTTATAAAAGTCTATTTTCGTTCTTGTACAATTAGTACTACAATTAGATTGTGAATTTTATCCTTTAAAAATAAATTCCTAGGCCGGCCCGTGGCTCACTCGGTAGAGTGCGGTGCTGATAACGCCAAGGCCACAGGTTCAGATCCTATATAGGGATGGCCGGTTTGCTCACTGGCTGAGCGTGGTGCTGACAACACCAAGCCAAGGGTTGAGATCCCCTTACCGACCATCTTTAAAAAAAAAAATAAAAAAATAAAAAATAAAAAAAATAAATTCCTCCTTTTCTTTCTATTGAATTTACAGAGAGAAGGCCTCTATAGTAATACTACTCTTACTCATCTATCACTTAAGGTATACCTCAGATATATAAAATATAAAGAGAATAAAAAGCAGCCAAAGAAATTACTAAATATGCATCAAAAGATATGAGCTTTGAAAGAAGTACACAAATTCTTAGTACTGAAGTAGCTATTTTAAATCTAACAAGCCATACCTTTGGAATTCAAACAACTCTTAGAGCCATAAATTTTAATACACTAAAGTAGTCATTATTCAAAGGGTATTATTTAGTTACGTTTCCATTTTCTAGTCATTTTTATATAATAAATACGATCCATTAATAAGCTTCAGTTTAAAAGATTAGATTTAGAGCTTCGGGTAATTTTCAATAGGATGAAGATAACTAAATACACGGTTGTAGCCAATTCAATAAAATAGCAATTACATATCACACTATCAAGAGTTGCTAACTAGGAGCCGGCCCGGTGGCGCACTGGATAGTGCGCCGCTTGGGAAGCGCGGCGGCGCTCCCGCCCGAGGGTTCGGATCCCACATACAGACCGGTTCCCGCTCACTGGCTGAGCGAGGCGCGGGAGCAACGCCGAGGGTTGCGATCCCGTTGCCGGTCCCCGGTCCGGTACGGGGGCAACACTGAGGGTTGCATCCGTTGCCGGACACGGAAAAAGACAAAAAAAAAAAAAAGAGTTGCTAACTATGTTAATAAAACTAGATATATGTACATTCTTAATTGCACTGCAATATTAAATATGATTTTTAAAGAAAAGAAAGGTTTCAGCAATCTGATAAAATGTTCAGGAAAAAAAAAAACAGCTCAAGGATAACAGAATTCTGTTCAATCTTTAAGATACTACTTAAAAAATAAAGGTCAATTTTCAAATCTGATGACACAAAATTTTCCAATACTGCAAAAACTAAAACAAAATGAAATAAAAGGAAAAAAGTAAATGCCAATGATAAAATCTGTAACATGCAGGATAAATGATGAATATCATTACATTAATTCATAACAAGATATGATAAACAGAATTTCTTTCTCTAACAAATAAAATAGTAAAACATATTCCATGGCAGTTCCCACTATTTGTCATCTTACACTTCACCAATCTGCTCACCCAACTAAAAACTATAAGAAAAGCATTTTCAGATTTTCAGCACTTTGGTTATAATTAAATGTGGCATCTATCCTATATAAGAACATAGCATTTACATCTCATATTATACTCCTGCTTAATACAGAAGTTTAAAAAAATTAGTCTAAAGCAAGTGTTTCTACATTTCCCCACTAAGATTCTCTCACCCTTAGTTTCAGCAGATAGCTCTCCTCTGTGCCCCCACCACCACCCAGTGGCAAACATCTGGAACTGCAAGCTGAACTAAGCTCCCTCCACAACCACCCCCCTCTACATTCTGCCAATATAGCAAAAAGTAGACTGAGTATTATGAGAAGTACGTGCACACTCACGCAGGAGAACACAATAAGTTTCTCTTACTTGGCACACACTGTTCGTTTCATTAAGTTTCTTGCAATATCTTCAGAAGGAATACTAAGAATCCAAAATGGAGACTGAAAGAGAAATAGCAATATGCAACTTATTTCTAAGTGGCTAGGTGGCCTCATACGCTTTCATTCAAGACGTTAATAAGAAGAAATTCCTATTTCCTACGTTCATGTAAGAATGCCTGATATGACTCTAACCAAAATAAAAATCTCTCCAACAGTAAAAAAGCAAATATTTTAATAGATAACCAGTTAGGATAGCACAGTACAATGTTAGAACACTTTTATAAATGACTGTAAACAAAACTATCAGCAAATTTAATTTAAATTTATTTAGATTTAAGGTTAATTTTTTTTTCCTTTTTGTCTTTTTTCGTGTCCGGCATCGGATCGCAACCCTCAGTGTCGCGCCCGCACTGGACCGGGACCGGCAACGGGACCGCAACCCTCGGTGTTGCGCCCGCACCTCGCCCAGCCAGTGAGCGGGAACCGGTCTGTATGTGGGATCCGAACCCTCGGCGGGAGCGTCGCCGCACTCCCAAGCAGTGCACAGTAGCAGTGCGCCACCGGGCCGGCCGAAAGGTTAATTTTTTATTGCCCTTTTATGTAGTCTAACTAAAAAAATTAATACATATTATACCCCAAAATTTTTATTATTGTTAATCATTCCTTATAATACTGCTATTTTATTTTGAACTTTGAAGTAATGCATTTTTTAGTTACTAAGTGATCTCTCTTTTTCTGCGTTGTTGTGGCCACCTGAAGTGCAGGAGAGTGGTCCTCTGAAATAGATATGATGGAAAGTCATGGAGTACATTATTAAACCATTATTAGTTTTTACTATTTTATCATTTTGTCTAGAGAAAAAAAGCTCCATGGGCATGGGGGTGGGGGTAGTTGCAATCCCCTGTCTCAACACCCCAGATTATTGGCACTAGTAAGCTCCACCCAGATAAACTCTTGCCAGAAAACAGCAAAACCCAGCAGGATCCTGACCTCAGTCCATCACTCTCACCCAGTTATACCCACACTTTCTCTCCTTTCCTCCTCCCCACAGTAAGTGAAAGTCACTCAGGAATAAAAATCCAACAACACAGGATGTTCAACTGAAGTTCTATCATCTTTTGTAAGCAATCCTGCCTGCCATACTGTCTTTCTTCTTTCCTACACTACCCTGCAGAAAAATTCAAAATAAACCAAATTGGAAAAAAGATTGTCATCTCAGTATTATCTTTAAAAGGAAAAATTTTAAAGCAACATGAATGAAATGATTAGATAAATTATGGTAGAGATAGTCGATGGAAAATATTATGCAGCTATATTAGTGATGAGGGCTGAGGAAAAACATGTGCCTATATTAACACTACCAAATAAAAAAGACAGACTGTAAAGTTCATGGTAAGTAGTATTACAACTGAAGAAGAAAAAAAGTCCATGAAAAAAAAAAAAAGACTGGAATTCTCTATCCCCAAATTATAAGTCATGTCAAGGAGGAAGAATTGTGAATAAGTTTTTCTATTTTCCAAACTTCTCTAATACACTGATAAACCACCAGTACAAAATACGAAGCTCATAAATTCACAGTCTTACACAATACGCAATTTCAAATTTTAAAATGATTCCCAACATAAGCCTGAAATTTAGCAAAATTCTAAATTCTAATTCCAAATACACCTCATCAATGGAAGACAATCCTTTTTTCAATGAAAGGACAAATAAAAATTATGGTACAACTGTTGAATTAAAAATTAAAAACTAATAAAATAAATTAATAATAGAAGTAAATCTAAATTACTTTCCAAAACCACAATTTTCCCCAAAATATCCTTTTTATTCCATTGCCTCTATAATAGATACAAGTAACCACACAAATATAAATTTAAGATCTGCAGTTCTTCTCTTTAAATCCAAGGTTCTATCTATATGTATATCATATATAGTCTAATGAAAATTCAGCTTACCTTTCCATAAGTTTCCTGACTGCTGGTGAACTGACTTCCAAAAAGTGAAAGCAAAGACTTTATCTCCTATATTGAAAATATTATAAAGAGAATACATTTTAACACAAGGAAAGTCAAAGTCTACTAAGAGAGAGGGTACAATACAATTAAAAAATAAAAAAAGAGTGGGCTGATGATCATTTAAGTTTCTACATAAGACAATTACAGTTCAGGGTTCTGAAAAAATTCTACCATCATAACCACTGTTAAGTAATATCTGAGGGGCAGGCCCGTGGCTCACTCGGTAGAGTGCGGTGCTGATAACACCAAGGCCCCGGGTTCGGATCCCATATAGGGATGGCCGGTTAGCTCACTGGGTGAGCGTGGTGCTGACAACACCAAGTCAAGGGTTAAGATCCCCTTACCGGTCATCTTTTAAAAAAAAAAAAAAAAAAGTAATATCTGAGAAGTTTTAGACAACAGGAGAATTGCCAAAGATGTGATCAGAAAATGCCCTGATTTTAAAAAGGAAAAAAACGGATTACAGAAACGACAGATTAGTAAATCTCACAATCGATCAATAAAAATTAAATGAATAATTAAACAGATGATTTGAGAATGTTTGGAAAAGAAAAAAAAAACTAGGGATCATCACTGTGGATTCATTAAGCACAAGCAAGTTAAGTTAACCTCGTCTTGTTTCTGGATAGTTACGGTACTAGAAAGAGAATTAACACAATAGGTACTTTAAAAGCATCATGCATGAAAAATTGAAATATGTTCAAATAGTGTGTATGTTCTTTGAAGCAATCACTTTTTACTGATAAACACAAGATAACTATACAAATTTTATGATTTGTACCACTAACAAATTATCTCCTTAAATAACATAAGGCAGGTAGAATCCCACTCTTCATAGGTCTTATGGACCTACACATTATCTCCATACACCTACCTCTTATTAGGTATCCTAATGAGAGGTAAGTGTCCCCACTGCTGGCTGCTTTTAATTCTCTTTCCTCCCAACCAGGAGAAGAATCCCACTCTTCATAGGTCTTATGGACCTACACATTATCTCCATACACCTACCTCTTATTAGGTATCCTAATGAGAGGTAAGTGTCCCCACTGCTGGCTGCCTTTAATTCTCTTTCCTCCCAACCAGGAGAAGGAACCTTTAACACCAAGCCCATCTCCTCCCAACCAGGAGAAGGAGCCTTTAACACCAGCCATCATGAGGGAAAGTATACCTGACCACAAAGTTCCCCACTCCAAGATCAAAAAGAATGGGAGGTCTGAGCAACTAGCACCATTTCTATTTTTGCTTTGTCTATGCAACAAATCGTTTTTTAAAAAACCTTACTATTATAAGGGGCTGAATTCAGTCTAGAAAAACCAAGAGCTAGCATAAACCATCAGTAAATCAGTGAAGGTAGCCCAAAGGTTATTTTGCAATACATAGGCAACACATATTTGAATAGCAGACATCATGAGACTTGGGAGGCAGATAGAACACAACTTGATTTTCGGACCTTCCAAATACTAGCTATGTGTTTTTACACAAGAAACTCAACTCCTTCAACTCTCAGTTCCCTCATCTGTAATAGGTATCATAGCTACCTCATGAAGTTAGGAGACCTGTACAGAGAGGAACACAGAACCTAGACTGCTATTAAAGGAATCAAAACAAAGATGAACCCAACACTGTCCTTGAAGTCCAGCAGTTCAGGAAGTTAAGCAAGATTGTCAGAGTCATCATACTCTTAAAATTAAAAAAAATGAAGTTATAGATTAAGTTTCTTGGTCTTGCATGATTGTCATTCATTCTAGAAAAGCATATTAAAAAATCAGCTTTATATTTAAAGCATCCAACTACAACCATGTTAAAACACCAATGCTTGCTGCTCCTGGAATACATTGTTAAAAATCAGCAACAGGCAAAAACACAAAGGTCCTAAAAGTTGGAAAAAAAAAAAAAAGTGAAGGATCTTTGGAAGTCTTACGGCACAGCATTAGCTCCACTACCCAAAACTTAAGCGACTACTTTAAGAATAAATGTGATAACCCAAGTTTAATTCAAATTTAAAAGCAAAACATGCTTGAACTACTCCATCAATCTACTTGGAAAAAGCAAAACAGTATTTTAATTCATCTACAGCAAATTCATTTTAATATTAAGAACAAAAAAGAGGGCCGGCCCGGTGGCGCACTGCTACAGTGCGCCGCTTGGGAAGCGCAGCGGCGCTCCCGCCGAGGGTTCGGATCCCACATACAGACCGGTTCCCGCTCACTGGCTGAGCGAGGGGCAGGTGCAACACCAAGGGTTGCAATCCCGTTGCCGGTCCCGGTCCAGTACAGGCGTGACACTGAGGGTTGCGATCCGTTGCCGGTCACGAAAAAAGACAAAAAGGAAAAAAAAACTTAAGAGTATATTTTTAAAGAAAAGAAAGAAACATGAAAAAGGTTGTGGCCTTTCTAATTTGG